CCTTTGCGAGCTCGACTTGGGTTGCTATACTTGGTTCGCATCGAGTTCTTTTCTTGGTTACGGCCCTTAACACGCATCGTTAAGCGCCGACTCCACGCCTATTCTTGCCACAGCAGATTGCATAACTTCATACGAACGGCTTGGTCCGAATATTGTATCGCACTTTCTCGTATTATAGCCGGTGTACTCTTCAATATTCGCTTCGGAGTAAGCTTCCTGTTGCAATCCTCTTTAGACTTATTCTCTTCCGAGTTGGGCACTGGGGGCTCGTGTTAGAATTGACCGGCATTTTGGTCGCGTCTCTCTTGGCAGGTACACTATCGAGTTGGGACCGTTTATGGTGTCAGGCATACCATCGGTTATCTTTCGATACTGCGTCAACAACCAGATCGCAGGATTGCGATACGCTACAAACACGCCGTATACGGTGACCTATCTGCTCGCAGACTACATCACACCTTTTTTTCCTTTGTCCAGTACCATCATCACGAAATGTTACCTTTGGGTTTCTCTGTTGGCTATCAGAATGTTCACGTATACCCCTGTTTACCCATTTTTAGATGGGTCATTCCTTTCGGCATCTCACTCGGCTTTACATTCGGCATCGCTTGTTAGTTGGCTCCATGGGCAAACTATCGTTCTTTCTATTCTCAGACCTGTACATACTTTTTAGGAGACGGCGACTTTGCATTATGGAGTATCTTCGGTGGCGGAGGAGGGGAACGGGGGAAGCTAGACGGCATGGGTTAGATGGCAAGCGAGCAGGTAGCCTTGCGCTTGCGGCAAGGCCGTTGTATCGGCGTGTTGTTTGTATACAAAAGATCGCCCGTTAGACATGGTGTCGGATGTCCACTGCCCCGTGTTTAGTGCACTTGGCGGGTGATCGCCTACGTCTTTCCCTATCCAGTAGGGAGGCCTACTCCGACCAATATCACCCTGTTTGCATGCACACTACACATCACTCTTGCACCGTGTTCTTTTCTTTTCCTCAATAGTAGACTCAACTATGTATGCACGAGTACAAGGGCGGTCAGAGGAGGGCCTTGCAGCGCTGGGTGTTTCACCTTGGGCCTTGCAGTAGTGGCCTGATTGGGAGATTTCGAATGTGTTGGTCTTTGCGATGATCGGTCGGAATGTGGAGGCACTTTGGCCACGTAAGGTTATGCATACGAATATGCCGATAAAGTTGTGTAACTCTCTGTTTCCTTCTGCTCGCACAGGGCGAGTGGATCTTGTTTGGGGAAAGAGAAGCGCTTCTTGTGAACTTTGTTGGCGAATTGGGATATCGGCAGTGGCGGTGTGGGGATGAGGATTCTGCTGCCAATCGGGTGGCTTAGGTTGAATGTGTAAGTATCGAACATGAGATGCTTTTTTATCATTGACCGGCACTTCAATGCAAGCATTGAGGCCCTACTACAGCTTTGCCGAGACGCTCAACTGCTCCATGCTTCAATCATGGTATGCTCTTTGCCTAGCAACCTCGATACCTTAGTAAAAGAAAAATGCGCCTTCAACTCATCGTACCTAGGTATGACGCACTACACCATTGCATTATTTAATCAAACTGTAGTTGAGTGTATATGAGAAGAACAACATCTTTAATGTAATTCGACAGAGAATCGGATGCGTTACCGTAGTACTGCGGGTGTTGGTGGAGCTGAGCCAACCGACTTCAACTAGGTGACCATTGCTCGCAGTGAAACCGGTAGCTATGATCTGCCAATAACGAACGACTCGATATATCACTTTTACAAGCGATATATTCGTGGAGTAAAGGTGCCGTTTTGCAGCCACAGGTATGAAATGCTTCTGCGACGGGTTAGCACAAATCAGCCACAGCCTCTGCCCCGCCTCGTGGCGCATGGCTGGACCCCACCTTGATGGTCCGTGGTTCGCCGTCACTGCAGCCTGACGGTTCCGCCCAAGCAAACTCACAACCACTTTGCTGCCTATAACCCTTTGCGCCGTCGCGTCCTCCCACCTACACCTACATCTGAATACTAAGCTCACGAGCTTTCGCCAACGCTCGCCATACCGCCGACGCAGCTTCACGAAGCTTGCCACAGCTACACCGAGACGACCGCTGAAGCGCGAATAAGAGAAGAATAGACAAGATGCAGATCAAGTACGTCATATCAAGTCTGGGATATGGCTAGAAGAAGCAGTAGGATGGCAGATTGCTAACACTGAGACAGAGTACGAACCCTCACCGGCAAGGAGATCGAGCTCGATATCGAGGCAGACTACAAGGTACGCCTATCCGAATGCATCGCCGCATACCTAAACTAGGTCGGCTCCAAATGGCCTTAAAATTCAAGAGCGATGTATGGAGAGTATACAGGGCGAGAAGCTGACGGCACACAGGTCTCGAGGATAAAGGAGCGCGTCGAGGAGAAGGAGGGCATCCCGCCAGCGCAACAACGTCTTATCTACGGAGGAAAGCAGATGTACGTACCTCTTGCTCTATTACCCCCTCCGCCTTACGGCTACCTCTGGAGGTGTCTCTGAGTGCAAATCTTACTCCAGACCGAGCTAACATGAACTCTCCCAGGAACGACGAGAAGACCGCACAGGACTACCAACTCGAGGGCGGTGCCACACTGCATTTGGTACTTGCTCTTCGTGGTGGATTCTAGCTTCATCCTCTCCTGAACCCACCCCACCGTCGCTCGCACCTACCGACACGTACCATATGACATACCCTGGGTCAGGCGTGCGCTAATTTTCCTGTCGCACGTTTTCGACCATCAGCTCACGGAAGCGCGCGTAGCACCATGGGGGTATATGAATATCAGAGGAATGACCGAGGAGAATGGATACTTGGTGCTTAGGTGCTGGAGTTTGTAGGGAGCTTGCTCGACACGCAGCGATGATACTTGGCATATGGATTGGGCTAGGATATCGCAAGACTTGCATCTGGTAGTAATGCGGAATCCTTTCTTGCACAATTACGCGTTACATCATGATTTCCACGAGCAATCTTTATCTCTTCAGCAGGATTGCAGATTTTGCACGCATCTCGACTGGGCCGCGTTTACGCCTTGCGCCTCGGATTGTACATGAACGATTGATACCATGCTTTCGACAGAGAGAACTTCGAAGTTCTGATGCTACTCCAAGACAGTTCTGCTATTTACCTAAGATTACGCAATGGACCTACCCTCACACAACGTCAATCTGAAGGGCCGATCTCATGGACTGTACTGTGACTCTAGAATCCGTAGAAGCCGTCGTGTGGATTGCGGACAAACGCTCTTGTCATCTGTAAGGCGTAACCGGCGTAACTGCATGTAGATTACCCCGCAGGAACACCGCCTGCGACAACTAAGTACAAACGCGCGATGGTCACAAAAGAGCGCTCCTGGACCCGCGTATAGACCGTCTCGTGGCCTAGATCCAGGCACCTACTCAGAAGACGCTATAAAGCTCGTTTATCTCCGTCATCCATAGTTCTGGTTCTTGAAGCTACTCATACTTTACCACAAGTCCTACTTTGCGTGCAATCGTAGCTCAAGAAGCTGACCTACTGTTCTTTGAAATAGAGGAGCAAAGAATAAGACGGAGCAAGATGGCGCCTCTCGACGACACCACCCCAGACAACCGATTCGACAGCTTCAATGTTTTCAAGACGTCGTACAAACAGGTCGACTACCACGACATCGAGGTCGGCATCCTGGTGCCAAAAGACGTGAATCCGGGCAAATGTCCAGTCATGGTCAAATTCCACGGCGGTGGTCTGGTATGTTGGTTACGCTTCTTCGATACAGATACTCATTAGATGTGAGGAACAATGACGACAAAGACCTAACATTACATCACAGGTTGCAGGAGACTGCCTCTACGCCGACTGGATAGGCGCCTTCTTCGTCCCCTGGATCCACCGCACCAACGCCATCGTCGTGCTGCCCAACTACCGCCTCATCCCCGAGCACAACGGCGCCGACATTCTCGAAGACTTAAGCGACTTCTGGAAATGGTTCAACGCAGGCGCCGTCGATGCATTCCTCAAATCTCAGCCGACGATCAAGGACAGCGGCATCAGTCTAGATTACGACAAGACTCTGGTAACGGGCGACTCAGCAGGCGGCTACATGGCCCTGATGTCCGCTCTCACACAGCCCAAAGACAGCATCAAAGCGGTTTTCGCGCAGTATCCCATGACGAACTATCTGCGTATCGAAAAGGTCGATGAGTTCTTTGGTCAGCCTTCTCCGCCTGAATCTCTTATCGCCAAGCATCTCGCGGCTGTCAAACCAGGTGCTATCGTTACTTCGGGTGTTCAACCGGAGAGAATGGGATTGAGCTATGCTTTAGCAGCTTACGGACACTACCTCAAGTACTTCGGGTCTGACGAGAAGATGTGGCCGATTGGGTTGGTGGAGGAGAAGGAGTGGTTGCCGCCGACGTGGATCGTGCATGGTGACGCGGACGGGGCGGTCAGTGTGGAGGATAGCAGGAAGTTTGTAGAGAAGTGTAAGAAACTGGGTGAGGGTGTTGAGGTTAGACTGGAGGTCAGGGCTGGCAAGGATCATGGCTTCGACATCGCGACTAAGGAGGATGAGGAGGCGTGGCTTAAGGAGGGTTTGGCGTGGGTGAATGGGAAGTGGTTGCGATCGTGATTCTCGATTGCTCATGGGCTGCCAAGTACGAGTGAATAGGAAATTCATGCCGCTTGTTGGGATACGCTGAGAGAATTGAGAGTGGAATTTGCGCCGAAGGCTTATGAGTGAGACCACGTCAACATAGGAAAAGACCGAACGCCCTGCAGCCTACATCAACATTAAGCTATGTACGTGGCATGTTATCATGTTGATGTAGTCTGCAGACCTGTATGAGGCAAGATGTTGGGGTTGTTGTATGGGTCTTTATATGCGTGGACTTGAACTTGCCGTTTTTGGAAAGCCGGAACGTGGGACAATGTATGCTTATTATTGGGACATGGTGACACGAATAGCGTAGAGTTATGTGGATGTCATGTTCCACGAACGGACTATTAGCACTCATATGATGGTCAACGTAGTCTTCTTCTCGCGAAGCGGGTCCCAGTCGATGAAGAGAGGCCACTCGCCGTTTGAGAGACGGTGCTGAAACCATCCGTGTTCAAACATTCCAATTCGTTTGAAGACCTTCTTACCAGCGACGCGTTCAAGGATTAGACCCGATAGTCTCAAGATCTCATGAGTGCCATACAGAAGCTTGACTCTGTATGTGAGTAACAGTAAGAGTGTCCGGTCGGCGTAATATCCGTTTCTGTATGCACCTTCATCCATTGAATGGAAGTACAATGGTTTGCGGGTATCTTGTGAAAGATCGAAAGGTTGCTTTAGTTGTCGTATGGGTGCCGTGACGCGGAGTTTGGCACCTGACAGTCTACCCATCGGATCTGTGCCGCTCGGATGCGTGACTACTTCTTCGATCTTCGCTGCGCAGATATCGTCTTGATACCCCCACGCGATGTTGCCTCCGTGAATGAGTGGGAACCACACCGCGGAATTCACGGATGCCCATGACCAAGAAGGCGCTTGGTAGAGATCAGACATGGATACAATTTTCTAAAGGTGAAAAGGCACTTACCACGATAGTCCCTTGGCAGAGGTTTCTTGTGAGTAGGATATTTCTGGGACCACAGAAGACCATACACAAGATCGCGTCTCCACATTCCAGCCACATAATGATCCTTGGTAGTGGCTTGCCAGTACTTCGCAAGTCCCATGAGAGCCGGGAAACGATCTTCTTCATACGTGAGCTGGCAATTCGAGAAGTTTTCCACAACGTGCAGCCATTTCCTGTACACTTCGCGGATTTGTGCAACATCAGGTGGGCATTTCTGTGGACTGTAGATGCCAAACTTCTTATATTTCATCTCATCGTACAGAAGATTTGCGGCACGGAACGGGAAGCCGTCTTTGCCCCACGGATTGAAGCCACCCGCGTTCGGTGCGCCTTGTGGGAAGGTTTCGCATGCGTGAAGTTCAGAGCACTCCCAGTGCAGTTTGTCGTCGTAATATATCGACCGGGGACTCAGGAGGCGCTCCTGGAGTACCCAACCACGCCTCAACAGAACTCGAGCCGTCATACTAGAGTCTCGCTTCAGGTATGACCCGTACGTTCTCTTGAACTCTTTGCGCTGCGCCTGGAGCCGACATAGAGATACCTGCCGTGGGTCTCGATCAAGATACAAACCCACCGACTTTTCGGCGGCCGCGGAAGCTCCTAGGTTGCAGAAGGCGTTGCTGTAAACCTGGCCCATTAATGCTGCTTCTTTATCCCAATCTTCAGCGTCATTTTGGACGATGCACAAGGCATCAATCCAAAGATATGGTACTTCCAATGAACGCGAGATGTCGATAGCGTCCTTGAACACCGGAGGGAGTGTGTTCGCATCAATGTTCATCGTCAGCTCTGCGATGTTAGAGCGGGTCAGCTTTAGCCTCGGGCATACTGCCCATCGATGACTGAGTGTAACGTATTGAATCGATTCAGCGGATTTCCAGTCCTTAGTCTCGACGAGAAATTGGGTGTCGGCATTTCGAAGGTCTATTAGACGTGTTGGAGTGAAAGATGCCGCAGGTTCGCTTCCTGGGAGGGCAAGACGATGACGGCACAATGTATGGTTCTCGATGCATTCTTGTAGCCAAGCTCGTACTTGCACCCAACATGATGGATCGCGCGTGGTTGTCGCTACTTGCTTTGCGGTAACAGGTATGCGCTCCCTGCTGAAAGTATCATTCCCGGGCCTTAATATTGCTTCGAAGCCGTTTGCACCTTTGGCAAGAGCTCGTAGGACTATCCTGAAAATTGCCGCGTAGTCAGTTGATTCGTTTGGCCACAGTTCAATGTCTAATCTCAGCGTATCGAATTCTTCGACCAAGTTTCCATCGCAATCCAATTCTTCGTGGTCAAATTCCCCGTTGTATAGGGTCGCGAGTACGTAGCCAGTTTCAGCAGCTTCTTTCTTGGACTCGTCGTCGAATGACCCAAGCCATCTCAAGATCCAGAAGCAAAGAGGACATTCCTTGGCTGTGGCGACGAGGCTGTGGCGGGTGTAATGAGCCGGAGACTTATCGAGGACGGATTCATGAGGTCTCACCAGGAGGCCTTGACAGGTTGAGCACGGAGCATATGGCGTCATCACCGCTACTGACGTACACAGTACTTCGGGGGCTTTGTCGACGCGATGTGGGGTAGAGTTCAATAATATCTCAACGTAATGAGGGGTGTGCACAGAAACAGAGGTTTTTCTACTGCATTCTTTGTCTGAGGTAGCCTGGGTTTGATTTGGGCCGCGTGACATGTATGTATGCTGTGCCGCATCGCGTCACTAGCGGCATGTTGTACTTTGTAGCGCAAATTATTAATGCCGTGTATCTGCCATGTATAGACGACTGCCGCCCAGCTTGGTTCGTACAGAACGTGTTGTGTCGATGTTTGGGCTTGCTGGATGGAGTTTTCGACGCCATTACAGGCCTGATCTATGTGTGAAGAAGGCAAAGAAACAAAACCCGGGTTAAAACTTTGATTTGCACAGTGCGCAACGTCTGTGACCACACCTAGGGCATATCGTACCGAGTTTGCCTTCATTTTCCCGCTCACACTCATGGCACTCGTACGTAGGTAGCGATATATTCTTGCCTGATTTCTGTTCACTACTCGGTAACTGCGCATTTTCGTGATCGGAATTGTACCCTAGGCGGTTGGGCTTGCTTTCGGAAGGCATTCACTCAGGCAAACTGGGAGGACGTTTTCAGGGGCTGGTGAGGGTGAAGGAGATTCGATATACGTCGTGGAGTATAGAGACCATGGTTGAGCGCGAGTAAAAGATCTTTATACTGGCTACAATACAGTCACAGTCGTCAGTCTTCAATGAGTCGAAGTATTGATATGACTACAATGGTAGTCACAGTCGTCACCCTTCCATGTGTCGATGCACGTTCGTGACTACAATGTAGTCACAGAAGTCGCAATTTAATGAGTCGAGGCGTTGTCGACATCACAGTCACCTATCACTCACACGATGTTACTCACAGAATCCATTGAATAACTCCCCGCTTCACCATGCAATCGCCTACATCACCTACTTCTTCTTCGAGCCCCTCCCGCCTCTCGCACTCTTTTTCTTCCCCTTCGCGATATCGGCGCCGCGGCGACCACCAGCAATCATGACCCGCACCTTGCTAACAGGCACGACACCTACTACCTCCGTCTCTTTCCATCCGCGTATCATCTCAATCTCTTTGGGCCAAATACGCTCTACATCCTGACTGGTCTTGTCTAGCGCCTTGACATCCTTCCCGGCGTGGTCCCAGATGGCAAGAACCTCTTTCACTGCTTTACCGCGCTTGGTAGAGCCGGGCTGAATCTTGGCTTTGTACTTGTAGGTGGAGAGGGCTGACCAGGGTGCGCATACGGGTATGGCAGTGAGGAGTTCGTCGTTGGGTAGGGGGCGGCCTGTGAACGCGTCGAGGTTCTGCAGGTTTGTCTTGAGGACTTCGTCGCCTTCGTCGTCTTCTTCGGCGTTCTCTAGTGCGCGTAGGCGGGCTTCTTCGGCTGCTTTGCCTGCAGCTTGGGCACGGAGATGCTGGTCCCGACGCCGTTGCTTGTCAGCTTGTGCTTGCTCTTCTTTCTGACGCTTCTCTTGAGCAGCCGCCTCGGCAGCCTGCTGCCCGGATTTGGAACCCAGTAGACGCATTGCTAATTCACGGTCTTCTTCGTCTTGTGCGGCGTACTTTGCGGCCTGTTTCTTTGCTTTCGCGCGCTTGCCTCGAGGTAGTGGAGCGTTCTTTGGCTTGGAGTTTTGCGTCGTTACTGTGCCGGGTGCTTTGGGCGGACTCTTTGCGCTACCGTCTTCTGCCGATGAGTTGTCGTCTTCATCAGCATCATCAGCTGCAGGCTTTGCGTCAGATGGGACTTGAGGCAAGTCTTGTAGCTGGCCCTTCCTTGCAAGGCGGCGTTCTCTTGCAGACAACTGTCGCTTCCCAGTGGACTTTGGCGCCCGCTCAGTATCTGCTACAGAGCCTGCGTCTTCTTGAGGCTCTTCGTTCAGAGCGGAACCATTTCTACCACCAGACATGGCGTACTCGTCATCATCCTTAGCAGCTACCGGCTCATCTTCATCGTCGGAGTCGTCCTTAGCGCCTGCTGTTCTGGACTGGAGAGGATTGCTCCTTGGTGCCGCAGCCTCTGATTCCGCGTCGCTCTCTTCAGTCTGCTCCATCTTGGCATCGGGGAAGTCGTCTTCTGAATCTGAATCGATCTTGGCGTCTGGGAAGTCCTCATCGTCATCGCTGTTGTCGGTCTTTGACGCCTCTGCTGTCTTCGATTCGTCTGCAGGTTCATTGTCCATCTCCGCGGCAGAGACCGCAGTGTCCTGCAAACGATGTTTGTGGTGATTGGCCTTACTTGAATCGCTAATCTCAAACATGACAGCAAGACCAACGACCAGCTGAGCAGGTGGTAGGAATTCCTTCTTGCCCTTGACATTGAACATGCCAGCCGGAAGAAACTCCCCGGTCTGGCCCGTTTTGCTGATTTGATCGCTGCGAACCCACCAAGCTGACATTACTGCCTTTGAATCCCACGCCTCGGATGAACAGATACAGAGGTTGCCTGCTTGCGAGAGTGTCGAGGGAGGAATGGGAGCGTCAGGCGTATCGGGCTTGTTTTTGATGATCATCGGCATCGCTCCTTTGATGTCGGCATGAACGTATACGTCTCCCTTGCGTAGGAAACGTCGGTAGATAATCTCGTTCTGCTGGGCATCTTTACCTCCAAGGACCAAATAGCCATCCGAGGAAATGAAGTATATGAATTTCTCAAACCACTGCTGCTTGCGCACTGGTCGCAACACCTCCTTCTCTTGCTTCAACCCCTTCTTCAGGTCCTCGTTCACCTTCTTTTCGTGGCTCTTCAACGCCTTGGTGGATGCTTGCAGTGTGCGGTCTTCTTTGTCAGCGGCGGTCTTCTTTTGGTCAAAGTACTCGGTTGAGTTCGCCCAAGCGGTCAAAGCGAGGTCGATGTCGATGGCCAATTGAGGCCGAGCGGATACGGCTGGGGCAGGGGCTTTCTTCTTAGGGGCCTCGTCTTCATCGTCGGTGTCTTCGCTGACAGAACTTGTCTCATTGCCCTCATCTTCTTCGTCTCCTCCCTCTTCCCAGTTGGTCTCATCCAGCAGTAACGTGACCGTATTCTCATGCAGCTTTAGTGGTAGCTTGATGAGCTGTGCGACTGCGTTTCCAGAGTTCTGTTCACGCTCGATCAAACGCGCGATATCAACCCAGTCCATGCCTTGTCTGATCAATCCATTGACGGCTTCGGTAGCTTCTGTAACACGATGTACATTTGCCAATATCGCTTCTGCTTTGCGGAAGTTGAGGTTTTGCACTTGCTGCAATCCACCAATTCGGTCTTCATGCTCTTTGCGCGCCTTTTCCAGCTTCTTCTTGGCCTGTTGTTCGCGCTCGGTCAACTTTGATTCCAGCTTCTGTCCTTCTATCGAGGAAAAGAACTCATCCACCGCTTTGTTGAATCCGTCAAATTCTAGGAAGGTATAGTCCGAGTTCTCGAATTGCGCTGGACGGAAAGGATGGAAGTCGTCATAGAGGACTCTCGATTTCTCGGAGGCTTCGTCATCGGCCGGAGGTGCGGAGGGGTTTGGCTTGGCGAGGATGAAGCCCTTGATCTGGTCTGGTGTTGTGATCTCGTCCGTGATCTTTCTTGCGTTCTGGAGCACCACGACAAGCTTTTCCAGAAGAGCATCGTCAGCGAGTACCTCCTCCGGCTTGAGGGTTGAATCGAAATTCGCGATGTGCAGCGCATGGTCTACCAGCAGAGGGGGGCACTCCGTGATTGAAACGGCGAGTGCCTTCCTCAACGAATCCTTTCCTGCCTTTTTCGCTTTCTTCCCTGTCGCCGCAGGCTGATCTTGTTGTTTATCGACCGCCTTCTGCAGCCCCTGGCGCACTCGATCCTTGGTAAGCTCCGGGGCGCCACCATAGTTCTGTCGCAGGGTGAGGTTGTATTTCAGACCGACCCTGAGCCTTTCGTGTTCCTCGCCTTCGTCTACATTGCGTAGTAGCGACAAGACATTCAGATCCGCGTCTGTCAGGACAATATTGCCGCCAGCGTAGAACTCCAAGTACAGCCTGTACAGTCCATCGGAGAATTGAAACTCGAGGATGCGGTCGGTGCCGATCTGGGTGATGGATGTGATTCGCCTGGTCTTCAGGTATTTGCGCAGCTTTGCGACAAAGGCAGAAGGCGCAGCGGCTGTGGTTCGCGCATATTCGGTAAGGTGGCAGCGGAAGCCGGAATCGATGAGGAGCTGTTCGCGGTGGTCGGGCTTGTGGAATTTGATGAGAAAGATTCGCTGTGTTTGTCAGCACATGACTCCAGGGGGTGTTGTGTCAAGCTGTCCAAGCATACCGAGCTCAAATCATAGACATTCGTGACTCGCAGTGAGGTGAGTTTTGCGGAGAGCTCGTGGGCTATGACCTATTCACTGTTAGCTGGATGTTTACATTGGGAAACTGTGAAGTGCTCACCTTGACGTCCAAGCTGGAAAACCTCTGCTTCATGGTTGTGTTGTGTGAAGAGTCTGTGGTTAGTGGGGTCGGCGATTGATGGTGGGCTGCGGCGATGACGAAGGTGTGCGAGTAGCGCGATTGCAAGGGTCATGGGAAAATGGAAATGGTTCCTGGCCCGGACGCTAACTAATAACCCTCTTAACTTTGCATAGTAGAATTCACACTCTGGCCGAGGTGTCAGTAGAAGCTGGATATAGTCATCGGGTCTTTATCTGTGCGGTGCGCTACCTACTCTACATGCGCCACGGTCCGGCCATACCAGTCACAATGCCACACGCATTTTATCCCAAACTCCGACAACGCCATGCCCAGCAAACAGAATGTGCCTAAAGACCTTGCCGTATCCTCTCAGCCAGCTGGCGCTTACCAAACTCCCAAGCGTTCAAGAAACCTTGTTCCGAGAGGTCGATGTTCTTCATCGAGGTCATGTCTTGCGCCGGGGGCTTGCTGACACGCGAGGCAACAATGACGGGGTCGGTTTCGAGGATGATGCCGTCGTCCACGAGCTCGTCTACGGCGAGGGACTATGAAGGTTAGTTG